CACTTTTGTTTTTGTGTTGGGTATGACCATGTCATCATTTAGCCAGTTGTACAACTGACGTGTCTTAAATTTTTGATATGTCTGTGAGTTAACGGATGATTTTTAACGGAAGGACCAAGTTGGGGTAAAATGGGTAAACAATAGGGACTAAATCAGGGATTTTTTTAGTTCAAGTACTAAATCGGGGGTCCGTATAATAGTTCGGGGACCAAAAAGGGGTTTTAACCAAAAAAAAAAAATCTTCCTTGCGTATATATGCTTTCCTCATATGCTATTACTTTTCCAAATTTCTCTTTCCTTTCAAGCTCTGCTAATGATGAATCTAAATACAATGATGCCATTTCAAGATTGATATATGTTTCAAATGATCCAAATCCATGTCAAGGAAGATGATGGTGATCTAGATTCTTCCCTTGAACTAATTGACGTGTTGCAAAAAAGAGGCCAAAGTTGCAGTCAAATTTGATAGACTCATACAAGAAGAAAATGGTGAGAAAAGATTAAAAAACAAAAAGAAAAAAAGAAAAAAAAAAAAGAGAGAATAAGGAAATCTTGCTAACTTAAGTTGAACGATTGTCATCATTTTGAGGTCTAAAGTGAAAAGCTCAAGGATCAAAGGCCATCTTTCATGAGCCTAATTCCCAAACACTTTACCCAAAAGAGTCATCCTTTCGTCAACCAAGTTGAGCCTAAAAAAGAAAAAGTGAGCATTTTCTTTCATACCTATCCCAAAACTGGGGAATATAGTTACATGCCAAATTGGGGGCAAGATCATATTGCTAAAAGCCCTGAAGAGAAATCTCAAAAGAGGAGCAAAGTTCAAAGAGAGCAAAGTTCAAAGAGAGCAAAAGCTCAACAAAAGGAAGAAGAAGAACAAAAGAGAAGAAGAAGAAGAAAAAGAAAAAGAAGAAGAAGAAGAAGAAAGAAGATAAAAAAGAAAGGACAATGCAAATGTCACATGGCAAGGGTTTGAAATAGAAAGCTCCTAGCTAAATCATGCAACTTGGGGGGGCATGTTGTGAAATTTTGAGCCTTTAATTCCCATGCTTTTTATCAAACCTTAACTAAACCCTATCATAACCCAAAAGAAAAGTTCTTTTTGAGGGTTTTGAAGCTTTAGATATCAAAATGATGGCAATCATTAGACTAAGAATAGCAAATCATGATCAAATTCAAGAGCTAATAGATTTAATGATGAGAGGTCATGTTTGTTTATCTTGAACATTTTACATTGTCTTTAGTCACACTTTCGAGCCCATAGAAAAGGCAATCATCCAAATTGTAAAAGCCGAGATGATTTTTCTTGTGAATTTACGTACATCATGATCCTGGGAAGTGAAGAGTAATTGTGAAAGGGAAACACCTATGGAAAGGGATTTTCACCCTTCATATCCTTCTTTTTGATAACCTAACCCAAAACCACATTACAAGCCAACAATAGTGTTTATTAGTGAATTTAACAGTTTTTAGTTTGATCATGAATTTTCTTTATAAAAAAAAAAAAAAAGAGACAAGAAAAGGGCAACCTAGCAAACTAAATGTTTCCTTGACTTAGAAAGTTGAAGATCCAATGATGAAAGGCATTATTTCTCTATCCCAACAGTTAACATTGTCTTTTGCTTGCCCTTTTTGGGCCAGAAATAAGCAATCATCCAAGTTTAGAAAAGCCAAGATGATTTTCTTCTTATTAATCCACATCAATGACCGAGGTCGTGAAGAAGGAAATGTAAGGGGAATATATGGATTTTGAGCCTTTATTCCTTTCTTTCATAATAGCCTAACCCCAAGCCACATTACAAGCCTATATAAGGTCCTTATTTGAGGGTTTGAAACTTTCTCTATCGAGGAACATAAAAAATAAATAAATAAATAAAAAGAGAAAAAAGAAAAAGAAATCCTTTCTCTAGCAAGCCCAAGTCAAAGCTCGGTGGTTTATAATCGGTCTTCTAAACATTGAAGGTTAGCTCATGGGAGGGAGATTGATTCGATTTGTCCACCTTGGCGTAAAAGTAGACATTGTCTCATATGCTAAAGACTGGATTGGTGGAGTTACACAGAAATAAATTCTTGAAGCAAATACTTTATAGCCTGAAGGCCTTTTAGCTTTGTTAAAATTATTGCATCAAAAGTTGCACAATTCAAAAATCATGTTTATCTCAAATCACATCATCCTCGAAACTTCATTATATTGTCTATCCACACTATCTACATCCTACTCTTCTCTTTTTATCCATTCATATTATCCATGCTCTAGCCTTCTTTTCCTTGTTTAGATTGGGATGCTAATTGGTTATGATGCTTTATTTCAATCAATATAATTGCTTTATTTAACTGAAATATCTTGACAAATCTACAAAAAAAAAAAAAAAAAAATGAAAGGTGCAGAGAAAAGCAAAAGCTTGATTCAATGGTCATGGTGTTTATCCTATCTTGCAATGATTTGAGAATTTTCCCTAATAAACTAGAGATGTTCTCAAGTCACTGAATTTTATGCAAAGTGTGTCATTGAGCCTATTAATGAATGCACAACACAGAGGACACTTGAATCTTGCCAAGTAAAGACATCCACCATATGTTCAGGGAAGTTTCTTAACCTCTCTTCATTTTACATTATCTTTTATGTGAAAGTTGTCTCACTTACATCTGTTTCATTATTACAAATCTTTCAAACATCACCTTCAGCTAGCTTGGTTATACAACCATTGCTACTCAACGGGCTCCGTCGTTTGACCGTGGCTACTCAACTTGCTCGGTCGTTTGACCGTGGATACTCTACTTTTTTTCTGTCATTCGACCATACTGATACTTTACTTTTTCTGATCATTCAACCATACTCATACTTTACTTTTTTTGGTCATTCGACCATACTAATACTTTACTTTTTTCAGTCACTCGACTATACTCATGCTCTACTTTTTTGGTCATTCGACCATACTGATACTCTACTTTTTTCGGTCACTCGACCATACTCATACTTTACTTTTTCGGTCATTCGACCATACTAATACTCTACTTTTTTCAGTCTTTCAACCGTTGCGCTTATATAACCGTATCATCTCAACTTGCTCATCTTAAGGACTAATACTGTCAAGAAATTGCTATGTAGTAGGAATTGCTCATCTCAAGGACTTGCTTCTCATCAGCCTTGAACATTTGTTACAGTCACATTGTTTATAGAACATCTCTGTTGACCATGCTGACAGGAGAACTCTGCATTTGTCATAATCTGTTTTAGAATGAAAGCTGGTTGTTTTG